TACTTAAATACATTGTCCTAAATCAGCATACTTATTTTCGATCATATAAAAGGCCTTTATAAAGGTATTTTAATGCACTATAATTTTATTATGGTTGTTTTTACAAATAGAACGCTTTCATTCATCGACCATAACCTCTTTAACTCGCGAAGACTAACTGATAGTATGTAGTTGTTAGATGTAACGCATCATTTTTAATACCCAGCACTGTAGGATATATGAGGACAATTTTACCCCAAAGATATACATAAAAAAACACCTCCTACACTGTACAAAGATATTTTCTCATAGTGTCATACAACACAAGGGAAATGAAAGGCAGTCAGGTTCGATACAAGAAAGGATAGGTCCACTTTCAATCAAAACGTGCTTGATGCCGTTCACTGGCATCAAGCACGTTTCTCAAGGGTCTTCTCGCTCATAAAATTCTCCAGCACATGATGAAGAGCAGCCTATCCCTTATCTTGATTCGCGACTATCTACACACCTACCGCTATTTCGTTAATCTTGCTTATCAACTTAAATTAATGACGCAGTTAAGGTGTTTATATGATATAACTACAGTATCAAAACCTGCTGTTATCTATTAGTCATCGAGGACGAGAAAATGTTCAAATAATTGTACATGGGATAAAAAATAATGTTCTCAAATGGGCAGATTTATTTTTCAGAACTTTGAGAATCCAATATTATTGGGAGCAAGAGCTGCACAAAATTCAGTAATAAAAAAAAGTAGAAAAAACAACAACAGTGAGAATGGAAGGCAATCATTTTCGACCCAAGGGAAGATCGGGTCCAATTCCTTGGATCAAGAAACTCTCACTAGTATCAAAGAATCTAGCTTGAGGGGATTTAGAATATAGACGAGACGAAAATATATCACAATTCACTCCTGAAAAATACTTGAGGTACCCGTTCCACTTCTGCACACTGAAATAAATTTTCTTGACCGGGAGACATTGTAGGCGGTGAAAAGTAAACTAATAAAAAGCAGAAGCAATATGTATATTAAGTAAACAAAAAGTGTTGAAGGCATTTCCAACAGATATACCTGATCAGCCAGGTTGTGAGGACTGTACGTCAACTTTACGTATCTTTAGAAAAGCCTTATTTCAGTTATGTTGTTCGGTTCTGGTCTCCATATTACAGAATGGAAATAAAATGCTCTGGAAAATATACAGAGGAATGATGAAGATTATTCCATGTTTCAACATTTTCTACGATGATACGCTTAGGTAATGAATTCACACGCTCGGGAAAGACGTAATTTTAGGGGGTAAATGTACAAATAGAAACCAGGAATAAATAAAGGGGATGTAAATAACCTGTTGAAATGATCTAAACAAAACAGGATTCGCAGCATCTGTTTAAGTTGGACAAATCTGGATTGCGAAAGGATATAAGAGAAGTACTGGTTTGGTAATAGAGTTGTAGGTGAGTACATTATTTTTATTATTATAATGACGGGGAGCGCTAAACCTGTAGGATTATACAGCGCCTGTTGGGGAGGGGGGATAGAAGGTATTCAGGCGCAATTCAAGGAACTGGAGCACAGATCCAATTCCTTAGATCAAGAGCTCCTCAGCGTCAATCATCCTCCCTTGAGCGGGTAGATGAGTAGAGCAAATCCAGGGAAAGTCACTGAGGCAACAACTTTCTGTAGCTTTAAATATAGGTTGGATGTGTATAGGAGTGGGTGTGGCTAGTTGGACCTGCTTTGTATGGGCTGAAAAGGCCTGCTGTAGAGTTCTTTCATTCTTATGTTGTCATGTTCTATATGGGACTGATAGCCGCTTGTCAACATCCTGGTTGACCATACAGTCAACAAGGAAGTCTGACCTCGGGATCAGAAGGTTGAGGAAGAGCCCTCGAAGACGGTCACAGGTATGTTACAGATATATTAATGACATCCATGAATAATACACTAGCCTGCCTCCTGTATATCTGTCATTTTTGAATAATTTGCCTTTATTATAAATCAGATAAAAACAAAATGAAAAATGCATACATATTACTTCAAGAACATTACTGCTAAAATGTAAGAAGATACAGATGACAGGTGGGGAGTGTTAAACTTCAGTGTGTTTGAAGGTGATGACTTTATACAAGCAAATACTGCACTATAGTTAGACTTAGAGGGAGAGAGAACACTCACATAGAAATTGTATCCATACATGGATTTAAAAGTATGACAGAATCCAGATAATCCAAATGTTAGAGATCAGCTAATCAACTGATTGAATGTTGAGGCGGACCCAGAACTACAGCTTAATTCCGCACACACAAGTCAGATGAATACACAAGTTTATCACACTACTATATACTAACGGTTATCGAGTAAATTGTTTGGGTGGAAAAAAAAAAAGATGTTATAGATGCTTTATCATGGCAGTGTTTCCTCGACCCGTACGGCCGCACCCACTGATGTCATCGCTGTAACTGCTCCTATGAGTGAACTTGCAGGTTATACCTGTAGATTATTTAACTTTAAAATTACTCGTGGTATAAGCGTGAAGCCACTTGTGTCTGTGAATAATATGGAGTATACAAATGAGGCTATATTTTTTAGTGTATACTGATGTAACGTTAAGCACAAGGCCTCTGTTTTTAAATCAGTCACAGATTTACTATCATCTTTATTCACTGTAAACACCGGAAACATCATTTACAATACTCTAGAACATAATATGAATATAACATGCATGGACAGATAATCAATTTTGTATAGAATACCAACTCATATCTGCATTGTGTTGTGTACAAAGTTTATATGCTGCAAGAGCGGCCTTTAATAAATATTTATTACACGTGACACCACAATGAGTAAGTCATCACAAAGTAAACATGTAGACATATTAGTAGATCTGACTAAAATATCGTTAGCAAAGACTTACTGTAATGTTACTCATCCTATTTCAAGGTCTATAGAGCACCTTCATTTGAGCTGGAACCAGGTTAAGTGGATGTATACAAACTTCTGAGTATAAAAAATATAAAACGTGTCCCTTAAATATGCGGCTAAATGTATGGCAGTTTCATTTCAGTGTGCATCTCTTGTCAATAATGCAACTAACAGTTTTCCAGCTGAGTTCACTCTCATGGCTACGTGAAAATTAAACGAAAATTATGTACCCGGCCTTCAACGTTAAATTAAAATATTTTGTTGATTCTTGCGATAAAGAATAACTCCGACAAGTATTGATTTTTTGAGCCTTCATCTGCTGATCACTGAGTGTTCTTATTTAATAGTAGTAGTAGTAGTAGTAGCAGTAATAATAATAATAATAATAATAATAATAATAATAATAATAATAATAATAATAATAATAATAATAATAATCATTTACAGTAATAGCTACCAACGTGCTGTCAGTACAAAATATTACCCCTGATGGAGGGTTCTTGATCCAAGGGTGTTTAGCGCTTCTTTTTTATAATACTGCTACTACTACTACTACTACTACTACTACTACTACTACTACTACTACTAATAATAATAATAATAATAATAATAATAATAATAATACTTGATCCAAGGGATTGAATCTGAGCTAACAAGCCTTGGCTCGAACCTGGTTGCCTCGCTTTACCTCCAGGCACTGTATCACGCCCTATTATCTGGCTTAAAGACTATTGACTACTTGAGCGTCCGTAAGGTTGCTTGTAACATGTTAACCATCAGTCAATAATACTTTAATCAGTAAAATAGGAATTTATGAAAACTCTTAAAGTATATAAACTAAGACATACCTCTCGGTGTAGAGAACGTTGCCCCTACGGGTTTAGCGCTTCCCCGTGACTGTAATAATACCAGAGGTGAATTAATAAGTTTTGGAGTCATAAAAATGTTCAAATATCAGGATGTCAGGTTTAACAGAGCAGTAATAATCTGATAAAGTTTTGTAGGGGAAAAATGTCAAATATTTTGTTAGGTTTTTTGTAGACTAATCTGAAACAAAATCTAACATGCTAATTATAATTTATATTGAAATGTATCTTCTGTTGATAACTCGTTTCAAGGACTGAGCGTTTCATGGGGGAAGTGGAGAAGAAACTTTCCTCTGTAAGCCATGTGTGTCGTATGAGGCACTAAAATGCGTTTCTCTTTTTTTTCGGGTTACCTTGCCTCGGTGGGAGACGGCCGGTGTTTTTATTATATATATATATATATATATATAATATATATATATATATATATATATATATATATATATATATATATATATATATATATATATATAAGGAATTCGCGAGAGCAGGCGAAATATACACAAACACTGATCTCTGGCTGAAGGAGACTCGAACCTACGAACCTTAGGACAAGGTACGCAGTGCTTTACAAATCTACCCACACTGGACAATACCTTGGCGTGTAGCTTGCGCTACACGTTTGATCCAAGGCAGCCAGCTTTCAGGGAGAAGGCTTACAGCTTTTCATCTCATCCCCTTCATGCATCAGCCTTACTAGAGATTTTAACAATGCAAGGAATTCGTGAGAGCAGGCGAAATATACACAAACACTGATCTCTGGCTGAAAGAGACTCGAACCTACGAACCTTAGGACAAGGTACGCAGTGCTTTACCATATATATATATATATATATATATATATAATATATATAATATATATATATATATATATATATATATATATATATATATATATATATATATATATATATATACATACATATATACATGCATGTATTGCCGAGTTTGTAACCTTTCTGCTTTCAGTTTTTCAGTGGTATTTAATAGAAACAATACGACACAACCGAACATATCATAGATACTAACTGTTGAAGCAATGGATGTATTCAATTCCTAATTAGTCAAACTAGCATAACAGCGTAATAAAAAAAACGACATAAATCATGTTTACCTGTGAACATCTCTGTCTAAAGCATGAATTGTATTGAGTTTCATTATATAACTGACGTTTTCTTTTTGCAATAGAGGGACATTCCACACAGATGTCAGTTATACATTTTACTTTCTAGAGAAGACGCTACCTACATGGAAACCCGGAGTGGAAAGAGATATGGCACATTATCATGTACTACAGAAGAGTAAGTACACCCAACACGCTTTGCATGTCGGGCACTGATATGGGATATGGGTGATGGTCTAATGTTAGTTTTGCTACTCTCTCCAGTTTTGAAGATATGTATATAATCCTTTAATATATATATATATATATATATATATATATATATATATATTATATATATATATATATATATATATATATTATATGCGCTTGTTTGTGCTATTTTTTGTAATGTCTGGTTTTAAAAATAAGATTTACCATATATTTGCTCTTATGGTATATTATATTTGTTGTTCATGGAAATATATGAGTTTGTGTTGTGTGCCAGATGTGCTCTATCTGATGTATATAAGCTTATGAGTTACATGTACACCGCTCTGGAAAATGATCTTTTGGCAGTGTAGTGTGCGGTGCAGTACACTAGTGCAACCCGCCCTCCACATATCTTACCTGGTCTTATGAACAAGCCAGACGTAAACCACCCGACTTTTTTAATTTCGTTTTCATTTTGAAATATAAGTTCATATGTGGTGATGTAACAAGCCTAACCTAACCTAACTCAGTCCAACTGAACCCAGTCTAGCCTAACCTAAACTAACTTTGTCCTGTATGAGAATAGCATGTTATATCATCAATGGTATATAATACCGACAAGTTGAATAATTAGACTCATGTGTAACAACTGGGTATCTTTATGATGTAGACATTCGCCAACCAGTTTCTTTATCAGTACAATATATGGACTAAAATAGGACACTTAAAAGGCAGTTGAGGAAGTTTATCTCTAAGCCTAGCAGTAGGTACTCTGTACCGTAGTCTTGATAAATCTGGTTCATCAAGACTACGTACGGTACCTAACACCTGCTGGTAAGATGAGGGACTGAGTACCTCAACTTTTACATCTTCAGTATTATGTTTTTTTTCCTCTATTGTACTGATAAAACCAATAGTTGGCGAGGCGTCTTCATGATAAAGATAACCAATTATTGCACAAGTGTCTAATTCTTCCTAACAAATATGCATGAAAGACAATTCGTTCGTGTGAAATTGGTTCCGTATTAGAGAAGAGTAAGTGAGTGGATGCTGAATAATCCACATGGGCTTAGCGCTTCACAAATGTAGTATGTTAGTGAAAGTTTCAAATCCTAGCAGGGTAGTTTGTAGTTGTTAGATTATAGAGAAAGAGAGAAAGAAACGAAATAGGCTAGTGTGGATTAAACATACAAAATATGTTGTTATTCTCATTGACTTATTTGTCAGGAAAACTCAAATGACGATTTTTTTTTCACTTAGGCCGCTCACTGACGCAGTATTTTAATGTACAAATGATTATAGTTGTGTCCTTGACAATACTGATAAAATTGAAGACTTTATAGAGGAAAATAAGATAAATTTAGAGTAAGAGCAGTTGAGATGAAGTAGACGGAGAAGAAACCTAGTTGATATTTTAAATTTATGTACAAGCGCTAAACCTAAGGGGTCCCACGACGCCTTGGGGAAGGGAAGGCAATTAGTCTAGACCCAAGAAAATTGAGGATAAGTCCGAGTCCTTTGATCAAAATCCCCTCACCGGCATCAAGGCATCTCCATTGAGAGGAGGGAAAACTATTAAGGTGGTAATATTGCACAACGGTGCGTCATCTTCCCACCCAGGGTTAACCTACCCAACACACACTCACACGCGTACTTGTATCTCCTACTTGTCAGGCTTATTAAATAAAATATGTAGTGGAGAAACCTTACATGACCTACTACCGTAGTTGTGGGAGTGTGATTGGCAAATATACAAAAGTACAAGAATAACCGTGGGTACAAATCAGTAGTTGTCCTTGAGGTAGTGTGTCAGTGGGTGAAGGAGGATGTATGCAGGGTAGAGCCTGTGTGAGAATGATCCTTGCTGACTTCACCAGCAGCCACCATCTTATCTTAATCCAAGGTCACAGCTCTGTCTAGTGCAGCTGCTTATACGCAACACCCTTCTTCATTAATATTACTAATGTACATACAGAGAAAACTGTTAGAACACTGAACACTACGATCAAAGTTCTGCTCATATAACACAAATAGGTAATAAACATACACACACACACACACACACACACACACACACACACACACACACACACACACACACACACACACACACACACACATCTCCTGAAGCGTACATCAACCAAATAACTGCTGCAGCATATGGGCGCCTAGCAAACCTCAGAACAGCATTCCGACATCTTAATAAGGAATCGTTCAGGACCCTGTACACCGTGTACGTTAGGCCCATATTGTAGTATGCGGCACCAGTCTGGAACCCACACCTAACCAAGCACGTAAAGAAACTAGAGAAAGTGCAAAGGTTTGCAACAAGACTAGTCCCAGAGCTAAGAGGTATGTCCTACGAGGAGAGGTTAAGGGAAATCAACCTGACGACACTGGAAGACAGGAGAGATAAAGAAGACATGATAACGACATACAAAATACTGAGAGGAATTGACAATGTGGACAAAGACAGGATGTTCCAGAGATGGGACACAGCAACAATGGGACACAGTTGGAAGTTGAAGACACAAATGAATCACAGGGATGTTAGGAAGTACTTCTTCAGTCACAGAGTAGTCAGGAAGTGGAATAGTTTGGGAAGCGATGTAGTGGAGGCAGGATCCATATATAGCTTTAAACAGAGGTATGATAAAGCTCACGGTTCAGGGAGAGTGACTTAGTAGCGACCAGTGAAGAGGCGGGGGCCAGGAGCTTGGACTCGACCCCTGCAACCTCAACTAGGTGAGTACAACTAGGTGAGTACACACACACTGCTGCAGCATATGGGCTCCTGGCAAACCTAAGAATATGTTGTCAGTGGTAAGATAGGAAGGTCTTGTAGTAGGTGTACGAAATTTTAAGTGCCAGTTGTAGAGGACAAAAACTATAATTGAATTATTCTTTAGAAAAGATCTGGCAATAGACAGTACCAATTTATAACTTAAATAATATGTCTAGGTAAAATTAAAATTAATACTTGGGGAAAAAGATACCGTTGTGTGGCTGTATCACAAGGTTTTATTATAATAATGGTATTCAGTACCGACAAGTATCTACTTGTCGGTACTGAATACGGTTATTTCACAATATTGTTCAAAACTTGGAACTGAACATTTCCTTAAGATAAGGGACTGATCACTTCAAAACTTTTTCAAGGTTACTGACTGAAAAGTTTTTAAAACAAAGATACCGAACTGTTGCACGTGTCTTAATCATCTAATCGCAGAAAAAAATATATAAAAAAACAGTTCATGTTTTTTTTTTTCTTGCGGTCTGTCTGTTTATATGGTAGACATTAAGGAGGTTTCTGCCTTGCTGCTCTCCTCTGTCTCTCTTTGTCGACCAATTCCTTGTTTTTACCAGAAACTATTTTATGCGCTCTCCTGTTTTCCTGAACGTTTTCTAACATAACAATTTTTGCTCTCCGTCCTTAGTACTGCAATCCCTTTATTTCCCACACTTACTCTTATCTTTATCTTTGATCAACTTAGGCTTACACTCAGCAACGGCTTCTTCAACTGAAGTGACACTACCACCCCTTGCATACATATATTGACAGTGGAAATTATCCCTCATGTCTATAAATGGAATTTCAGGTTTCCTGCGGTACATGCCTAGCAGTTTACAACAATTACCCTGGATATCCATTCACTGCCCACTCCTGTTTTAGATAGAATGCTTCATATGATTGAGATTCCTTCCTTTTCAGTTTAATATCTTTATTATGGACCCCATACTCATCCTGTGGGTGGAAGTTAAAACATAACACAGGTGCAAAATGTGGTCAGGGACTGGGCCACAAAGTTTTGATAAACAAGTTACAATGGTAATGAATTATTTACATGTTCTCTCTGGTTACAATCGTCATGAGTAATTTATGCAGACATGAATTAGGTCACAAAAATATTACCTTATAATTTAGCAAGGTATACTTGTAAAAAAAAAGTTAAAAATAGTTATGCGTTATTTAAAGTGGGCAAAGCTTGGATATTTTTTTCAGAATGGTTGGCAATATACAGCTGTGGATAGAATACTTTAACATTTCTTTGCCATGTGGGTTCGATAACGTGGATGGGGTACAATCTTCTAACGTCGGAAATACCCCTAAATCCACGCATCCCACCGCTGTCACCAAATTGTCATCAGAAAAGATTTGTTCCACTTCATCCCCAAAATCATCTACGTCAGAGACGTGTGAAGCAACGTCATCAGCAGGATTGTCATTCTCGAGACTGCTTAAGGCTTCAAAGGAATTGTGAACGGGGATGGTGTACTCACTATCACCTACTGTCACCATGGGACGGTTTGACTGGGGTGTTCGGATTCCCCCGAATTGGAAGAATGAGCCTGGTTCTGGTTAGTCTGAGAACCACAACGTCTGTTTCCTCTCCTGGTTCTGCGGTTGGAACGGCCACGGAAAGACCTAGAGTACTGAAGGTTGTAGAGAGCATTGCACTCAGATGTGTCATGTCCATGTATTCTATGATAAGTACAGTAGGGAAGATCTGACTGGTACTCATCATCAGTACGACGCCTCTTAGGGTGACTATCAGGACAATTAATTGCAATATGGCCACGGAAACCACAGTTGTAACAAGTCCGCTGACTATGATTACTGAATGTACTATGAATACTACGAGGTTTATAATGACTCTGTACACTGGTCCTTGGTGATCGCTGCGATGGTTGACGACCACGATTTGTCGCTGTGGCGCAAACAAGAGGTGGTGCAGACTGAGGCATAGGTGTGAAATTACTTTTGATACATGGGAAAGTACCCTGGGGGCACAAGGAACGTACATGATTTAGGGCTGTTGGAGGATTAGCCTCATAAGCACACACGGAAGCAGGCGGCATTAGTTCTTTGATTGCTCCAAAAGCTGCTATTTTAGCATACGATTCTGTGGATGGTTTATCCTCATCAGGGACAAAAGCTGAGGACTGGACAGCATTGATAAATGATGATAAAAGTTTATCTAATCT